GCGGGCCCAGTAATGTCTCCATTGGAGACTTTGTTGTTACTGTGTCTGGCATATCGAATACTCTCGGTAGCTTGCCGGGCTCTCCGAATATATATATATATATGTGATATATATGTATATATACATATATATGTATATATACTACTGTAGCACTGTCATCCCATTGTTCATCAGTTTGCTTGAGCAGGCACCAGTAACACCTCCATTCATCTCTGTCATGTGCTTGTGTAGCCCAATGGTGTCTGCAACCCATATAGTCCCTCAAACCTCATCAGGGTTCACTCCTGATTGCAAAGCCTAGAATTAGCCCTGAACACCATCAAGTGTGGCCCATTTAAAAAACAAATAAGAAATGCATGTCTCTAGTCTTCCCTGTATTCCATTAAATTTTCCTTTTCTAATGAGAAAAATAGGTTTGCTGTGGGGAACAGTGAAAATTTATCAAGTGGAAACAATATAGCACTTCTGTTCCCATTCATTTTAAAATATCTTCTTCCATCTGTAACACTTTGGTGCTTTATTTTCAATATTTTCTTCCATCTTCTGTTAGATTTTACTAAGCTTTTATAGAGAGACAAATGTTGTTTGATTTGCCTTCTCTGTTTTCTAAACCTCTCAGACACACATCTTGTGGTTACTTACCCAGGCTCCCGGAAGCATGAAAAAAAGCATTATGTTCACACTTTGCTTGTTTGTGTTAAAGCCTGCTCATCAAAAGAAATCATATCTGTCTAGATCCAGTTAAATTTTCAATAATGTTGGGATTTTAGAAGTTAAGTATACAGAATGATTATGTCCTATCTCCTTTGAATTAAAGGCTTACACTAAGATTGTATCTAAACTCCACTTAATGGATTCTTATTATTTTCATAGCTCTGAACTGTTCTCTTTCTGAGTTCATGTCTTAAATGCTCAATTTATGCCAAATAGAAAGAAAATACCAGTTATAATAAACTGATTAAAGAATATGGTTATTATACTCATGAAACTGCCCTTCTTAAATAAGCGTATTAGGGCTATGCATCTTTTATTTTGAGTGTACAGATGAGCTATTCTAACCACAGTGTGTTTTGGAGTAAATTGAGTCATGCTCCAGAACAACTATTTAAGATTTTGCTCATTTTTCTCTATGAAGATTAGATTTTCTTTTTCCACATACTCCTTTTTCATCCTTCAAATACATTATTACTTGTTGGATCGACAACAAACAAATGAACTTTAACCTGAAATGTTGTTGTCAAATTAAATTTATTAATACTGTAATGCCAGGTTTGTATGAGGATTGAGCATATTCCAACTGCCTATGCATCTCCTTAAGAACTCTCTCAAGATTTTATAGATTGTATACTCTGTATACCTATGTGTATGGCAAAATGTGTTTAAAAAATATTTTATGTATAGATTATAAATGGAAATAAAACCTTTCACTTATTTTTGCATTAGTAGAAATCCATTTAAGAACAATAATAGCAAAGGTATGATTCAATTAGTAACAGTAGTAAACTCCAAAATCAAGCTAGATAAAGTGTCACGAGTTTTTTTTCTTAAGTTCACAGAAAATAATATAAAATAGGACAGTCATCCCTCGGAAAATTCAGTTTTAACCAACTATTTGAAACTGTAGGGCCAAAAAGTCCTTTGCTTCTACTCTTTTTTTTTTCTTTTTGTGTCACGCCAAGATGCTCAAATGTTCCTCCTGGCTTTTCACTCAGGAATTACTCCTGGCAGTGCTTTGGGGACCATTTGGGATACCGGGGGTGGAACTTGGAACCCAGGTCCACCACAGGCAAGGCAAACACCCTACCCACTGTACTATCGCTCCAGCCCTGCACGACAGCATTTTATTTTATGTTATTTTATTTTTTATTTTTCCTTTCATTGCTGACTTATTTTCTTCTCATAGCCAAAAACAGGTACTGAGAACTTTTATGTTTTCTATTTTATAGTGTCAAACATAGAAAGGAGACTGATTTGAACTTTCTTGGTGCCAAAACTAAAATAATTTTAGAAGCAAGTTTTATTCACATGGATTTTCTTTGTCTTGCTTCCACCCCTGCCAGCCCCCAGCCCCCCACCACCCCCAGTCTGGCTCTCTCTGTTTTTGTCTGTTTCTGTCTCTGTTTTGGTCTCTGTATCTCTGTGTTTGTCTGTCTATTTGTCAGTCTCTCTGTCTCTGTCTCTGTCTCTGTCTCTCTCTCTGTCTCTGTCTCTCTCTCTCTCTCTCTCTCTCTCTCTCACACACACACACACACACACACACACACACACACACACACGGTACTGGAATAAAAACCCAGTACTTGACACACATGCATGACAAGCACTTAACCACTGGGCTATATCCTTAGTCACCCTCAGTTAACCATTAAAAGGACTAAATTCTGATTTGGAGTTGGAAGAGAATGATTGTCATTCATGAAATAGAAACTTTTCTCTCCCTCTCTCTGTATTGAAACATGTGCATGTGCAGTACCATGTGTGAATTTGAGGTAGGGAATAGTATGATGTGGAATTGGGGCAGAAATTCTATTAGAACTCATCATCTATAGAGGGGGGAATAATGTAAGCTGACTGCAGAAGTGGTATTCAGAAGCAGGGAGATAACAGAATACAAAAAGGAAAAAAATGTGTTGGAGTAAGTGTGCCTCTAAGCTTCCTCTATGAGGACACTCCCAGATGTAAGAATCCTTGTTTTGGTTTTGCAGATGAGAAAAGTGATGCTTTCTGTTTCTGTACCTTCCCCACAGGGTAGTGTAACTGAGGATTAGGGACTGGGGCTGATCTGAGTTTCATTAAACTTTTCTTTCTATTGAGACTAGGGGGTATGAGAGGGACTTAAAATGAATGTATTTGAGTAGGGGAGAGATCTATTTTAGGTTGTTTAATTGCTGATTGATTGTTTTCTGTGAACATGTCATAATGCAAAATTACTGGACTCTAAAAAACTTTTGTTCTTTAAGTCAGAGTTTGATACTAGGCTGTTACAATAAGCTTTTCCTAAACATAAGCCCAGTCAGCACAATTGTATGTTTGCTGTGCTGAGCAGAAAATTTCTAATAATACGTTTGAACATATGCAGGGATATTAGTTTCTGTGCTTTGAAACAATCATTGCTGGAGGGTTTCCTACCTATATAAGCATCTAGGGCAAATAATCTCACTTTTGCTTTCCTCATATTCTCAGCAGCTCTAAAACGAGCATTTTATTATATTATACAACTTTGGTAACTTCATTGCTTACACCCTCTTCCCTTTTAAATTCATGGGACATATTTCCCCTCTTTAGATTACTTTTGAGAATTTCAGCATTATTATGCCTTTTACTCTTCATTCTGTTCACCACAAACATTGAGCATTTGCCAGGTTATCTCAGTTTCAACTATGCCTGCTAAATAGAAATTTAGAATTGTGTATGCAAGACTTTGTCCCTCTGCCAGTACCTTCATGTATGCGGAGAGTGGTCTCAGCATGGCAGAGGGACAAAGTCACGCAGGTTCCGGGGCCGAGATCTCCAAGCCTACTCGGATTTGGGCCGAGCATCCTCCACCCTGATCCTCCAAATTCCAGTAGGCGGGGGTCACACCCACCAACTGGACCCTGGCGCTGTGTCATCCCATCAACGGCCAAGACTCAGAGACTATAAAACCCAGCTCCTGGAAGCGACATCCCGACATCTTATTATGACATCTTATTATCTCATTCCTACTTTGGACAAACTGGCAGGTTACCGAATGTAGCCTGCCCACATGGCAGAGTCTGGCAAACTCCCCGTGGCGTACCCAATATGCCAAATACCAGTAACAATGATGGGTCTCATTCTCCTAAAGAGCCTTGAATATAATCTCAGGGCTAGGATGAAGGAGACGTTACTGGCGCCTGCTCGAGGCAATCGACGAATAACAGGATGATTTGTGATTTGTTTGTGGTTGTATGCAAGAGATGAAAGAATTAACCAAAGATATTCTATAGTAAATGGATGAAATGAGATTAGAATTCATACAAAAATATATGTTTGTGAGTATGAGTTCTTTTATGTGATCTCTGTTTGAAAGAAATGAATATGTTCTTTACTCCTATTAGTACAAGTGGCATTCAAATTTCCTTTCATTCTTAACATTTTTATAATGTTGTTGGATTTTAATGTGATTATGCTTCATATGCTGAATTTATATTTAATATTGTCTCATTTTATTTTGTTAATATTTGCATAGTTTTATATAATAACACTAATTTTATTTACTACATCTCTCAGCAGAATTTTTTGAATGTTGGATTTCTATTTTGAATGAATTGTGAATGATAGCATAGTGAATCAAGATAACTAGCATATACATATCACATTTTGAAATATACTGAACATGCAGTCATTAGATTGATAACTTGGTTATATTATTTAAATGTTTCAGAAAGTTTTTAATATGTACTATAAAATACTTTTTCAGGAAAGTAATACTGGGCCTCATAGGGAATAAAAATATCATTTAGAGCTTTTGTAGTTAAAAAGATAATATTGTTGGCATGTTAAATGAGCAAGTGTAAATATTTTAAAAATTTGCATGTACTTTAAAATAGCTTTTCCCCCCAAATAAAAACATGAATAATTTTTTTCTCTCTTTTCTTTTTCTTTAAATCATTGAATCATCCCAAGATGTAAAGTTGCCACCTCAGAGCAACATTTTTACATGATAAATAAAAATGATTACAGATTCTCGCCACCTCATATTAGCTGTAAGCCAATAAGTATATATTCTAATGTGGGAATGCATAACTTAATTGCCTAAATTAGCTCTTAACATTTAGCTATCTGGTAGTGCTAGGTAAAACCAATTCTTCTTGCCAACCTACAGTTATATTTATTACCATGACGCCTGACTTTGTTGTAAGACTTTAGCATCTGGCTTCCACTACACTCCATACACTTGAATGTGAGACATTTTTGTTTCCACCTTTATGTTAACTAATTTAGTTAATTTTATTTGGTTTTGCTTTATTTACTTTTAGATGTTTGCCAAACTACTGCGAACACGGAGGAAGATGCTCCCAGTCCTGGACTAACTTCTACTGTAATTGCAGTGACACAGGTTACACTGGGGCCACCTGCCATAACTGTGAGTAGGTTCATGGTTTAACCATAGTTGAATAAGATAAAAATATTAAGATACCAGTTTTTATTTTGTTATTTTTTTTTTAGAATTGTGTTTCTTATATGGGTGGATTTTTTTTTTTTTTTTGCTTTTTTGGGTCACACCCAGCGATTTACAGGAGTTACTCCTGGTTCATGCACTCAGGAATCTCTCCTGGTGGTGCTGGGGGGAACATACGGGATGCTGGGAATTGAACCTGGGTCTGCCGCGTGCAAGACAAACGCCCTACCCGCTGTGCTATTGCTCCTGCACCTGGGTGGACACTTTTTATTCATTCACTGTATATGTGTTTCTTGAGAATCACTATATGCAAACACTCTATTGGGCACAAATTTTTCTCATGTTCTTATATGGATTTTGGTCTGTCAGGAAGACAGGGAGGAAAGGGAATATCTGTTGAGGTAGATATAGGGAATTGTGGGTGGACAAAGAAGAGTTGTTCAATCAATTTTATTGTCCTTATGGGCTAAGAAATATCATTGGAAACAATTACCATCTTACCTGATTTTCAACATTGTCCATATTCTGGAATGTTCCTAGAGTTTCTGTCATTTTAGAACTTTGTCATATCAGGGATAATGAAGTGTAAGAAAATTAGTGCCATATTTTAAAAGCTTTTCTTTAAAGGTGGCAAATGTTATTTTCACTTACTTTCTAGTAGCCATATAAAGTTATATGAACACATCTAACTTCAAGGGTAAATATATTGCAATTTGGATCCCTTGGCAATGGCAGAAGCATCTATTGATGACAAGTCCTGATGACTATGTGACAGTGTTGGGTGACAGAATGGTTTCAAGCAGAAAACAAGCTGATCTTATGCAAGGAATATGACAGGCCAAAAGAAAAATGAAAATAACAAGATTTGTCTCTTGGCTAAATAGCATGACAGTGAAGTGAAAAGATATCATAAGAGATGAAAGAAAAAGAAGCAGGCTAGAGTTTATGAAGAAAACAACATGAGGAATTTAAAACAAGATAAATAATTTCAGCCCCTATTTCTAAAAGTGTATAGTCTTAGATCACCGTGAAATTTTCTCCAGCTATAGTCTTGTTGAGTCTATAGTCTTCTTGCAATCTATAGCAAAGTAAATAAAATAATTTAGAGTCTAACTTTTCTTTTTTATTTTATTTTATTTTATTTTATTTTCCCTTTATTTTATTTTTTTTAAAGTTGTAGATTTACAATTTTTTGTGCTTTGGTTTCAATCATACAATGATCAGATACCCATCCCTCCACCAGTGCCCATCTTCCACCACCATGGATAATATCCCTCCCACCCCCATCCCCCCACCCCCCCTGTCTCTGTGGCAGGGCAATCCCCTGTGTTCTCTCTCTCCTTTTGGGTGTTGTGGTCTGCAAAAGAGGCATTGAGTGGCAAACATGTTCAGTCCATAGTCTACTTTCGACATGCATCTCCCCTCCTGGGAGGATCCTCCAAACATCCAAACTATGGATTGTGAGCCCTTCTGGTGTGAAAGTTGTATGGGGCGGGGAGGGGGTGATTCTGTAGATACACCCAGTCATGCTCTGAGATTACTTCCAGATTTGTATTCAGAGGATTCCTTGTAGTCCTTAGGGACTATGCACCTTGCCAGAAATGAACCAGCTTGGCTGTTTACAAGGCAAGCCCCCTTCTGCTGTACCATCTCTCCAGCCCTTAATATAGGGATTTTAGAAAAGTATCTTTGATTTAATTTTGGTAAGTATTTTAGTTGTTATGTATACTTTTATGCCTAGTGCTGCATATAATAGTTTGGGTTTATAAGTGTTTGTGAGTAGAAAATGTTTCTGTAGTGCTCAGGGTTTACTCCCGACTGTATGCTTAGTGATCACTCCCATCAGTGCTAGAGACCCTCTGGGACACCAGGGATCAAACCCAGATCTGGTGAATACTGGTGAATACTCTGCAAGAACCTTACCCACTCTCCTATTTCTTTGCCTCAGGGAGTCTAATAAATTTCAAAGCCACAATTTAGAAAACTGTATGGCAAACTGTATGCAATGACTGTAAGATTATTGAGGAATTATTATCTGAAGCTGTTTTCTCCTATAGTTGGCAAAAACTTCACAGGAAAAATGAAATTTGAAACTGATTTAAAAGAAAGTTTACAAGAGACAGGCCTTTGATTTAGGAATAAAATCTAAACCAAGGCTGAAGGGTTTTCAGGTGACTGCAGCAATACTGTCCTCTTTTTTTCTACTTTTCATAATTTTTGCTTTTGTTTATTTAATTAGTTATATATTTTTTGCTGCTGGTGAAATTATATTCACAGATTCACAGAGGCTTTGCCAACTGGGTTAGAGTAAAACTTTGATTCAGGATGAACACTTAATATTCACGGGGTCAGAGAGATAGGACAGCAGGCAAGATGCTTGCTTTGCATGTGGCTGATCCATTTTCAATCCCTGGAACCATATATGCACCCCCCAAACACTCCCCAAAAGCCTTCCAGAAGTGCAGAGAGAAGAGCCAAGAGCAAGCCCTGACCACTACTGAGCGTGATCCCACAAAAACTAAAACATAATAAGCAAAATACAACACAACAAAACATTCTTGTTCCTGGATATCTCTTTGCCACTCTGTGGCGTCTTCTATATCTTAGAAAATAGAATTTACCAGCTGAGACCATAGAGGAGTCTGGTCAAGTCAGATAAGAAAGAGTTCTCCAGCTCTAATGGGATTCGTTTATTATCATGAGTGGTCTGTGGAAACAATCTTCTTTTTTTTTTAAAATTTTTATTAGTGAGACACCATTAGGTGCAGTTGTAGACTTACAAATTTTTGTGCTTGGGTTTCAATTATACAATGATCAAATACCCATCCCTCCACCAGTGCCCATTTCCCGCCTCCACGGATCCCAGTATCCCTCCCATTCCCCCATATGCCCATCCCACCCAACAATCTTTAATTTTGTGTGAAATATTTTATTTAGTATTTTCTACGTATCAATTTGAAAATATAAGTAAAAAACTAACCTATGATAGACTAGCTTGAAATTTTACTTTGCTCTGTTCTCGAATATATACACATCTGTATTGCTCTAGATCATATTTCTACACAGGACTCTATGGGGAAAAAATCACGAATAATGACGAAGACTTTAAGCTGAAAGTACAAGTTTTTGAATAATCCTTTTATTAATTTTCTTGGGTTTTGGTCCACACCTGCTGGTACTAGAATTTAGTCCTAATTCCGTGCCCAGAGGTCACTCCTGCTGGTGCTTAAGTGACTATATATGCTGCCAGTGATCAAAATAGGCTTTCCTGTGTACAAAACAAGCATCTTTTATTTGTTTATTTATTTATTTATTTATTTACTTATTTATTTTTCATTGAATCACTGTGAGATAGTTACAAGTTTTCATGTTTGAGTTATAATCACACAATGATCAAACACCCATCCCTCCACCAGTGCACATTCCCCATCACCAATATCCCCGGTATACCTCCCCTTTCCTACCCTCCCCCTGCCTCCATGGCAGACATGATTCCTCATAATCTCTCTCTACTTTGGGGCATTATGTTTTCCAATACAGACCCTGAGTGGGTATCATGTTTGGTCCTTTATTTACTTCCTGCACACATCTTTCATCCCAACCGATTCCTCCAGCCATCATCTTTTTCTTAGTGATTCCTTCTCAGTTCCAGCTGCCTTCTCCCCTTTGCTCATGGGGCAGGCTCCCGCCTATGGCGCAATCTATCTGTCCCATGTATCTACTATCCATAGGTGTCAGCCTCATGCTATATTGTTTTATACTCCACAAATGAGTGCATTCCTTTTATGTCTGCCCCTTTCTTTCTGACTCATTTCACTTAGCATGATACTCTCAATGAAATGTCTATCCATTTATAAGCAAAATTCATGACTTCATCTCTTCTGAGGGCTGCATATATTCCATTGTGTAGATGTACCAAAGTTTCTTTAACCAGTCATCTGTTCTAGGGCACTTGGGTTGTTTCCAGATTTTGGCTATTGTGAACAGTGCTGCAATGAACATATAGGCACAGATGTCATTTCTACTGTGCTTATTTTGTATTCTCAGGGTATGTTCCCAGAAGTGGTATTGTGGGGTCATATAGAAGCTCAATTTCTAGTTTTTGAAGGACTGTTTATATTGTTTTCCAGAAAGGCTGGACTAGTGCACATTTCCACCAACAGTGAAAGAGTGTCCTTTTTCCCCACATCCATGCCAGCAGTGGTTGCTTTTGTTCTTTTGAATGCGTTCCAGTCTTTGTGGTATGAGATGATATCTCATTGTTGTTTTTATTTGCATCTCCCTGACGGCTAGCAATGTGGAGCATTTTTTCATGTGCCTTTTGGCCATTTGCATTTTTTTCTTTTGAGAAAACTTCTATTTATTTCTTCCCCTCATTTTTTGATGGGGTTGGAGGTTTTTTCTTGTACAATTCTACTAGTGTCTTGTATTTGTCGATTTGATTGCCTCGAGCAGGCGCCAGTAACATCTCCTTCATCCTAGCCCTGAGATTTTTAAGAAAGTGCCATATTCAAGGCTCTTTAGGAGAATGAGACCCGTCATTGTTACTGGTATTTGGCATATTGGGTATGCCACAGGGAGTTTGCCAGACTCTGCCATGTGGGCAGGTTACATTCGGTAGCCTGCCAGTATGTCCAAAGTAGGAATGAGATAATAAGATGTCACGCGGCCGCGAGAGCTGGGTTTTATAGTCTCAGAGTCTTGGCCGTTGATGGGATGACACGGCGCCAGGGGGCCAGTTGGTGGGTGTGACCCCCGCCTACTGGAATTTGGAGGATCTGGGTGGAGGATGCTCAGCCCTGATCCGAGTAGGCTTGGAGATCTCAGCCCCGGGACCCACGTGTCTTTGTTCCTCTGCCAGTAGCTTCATGTGTACGGAGAGTGGTCTCAGCATGGTGGTGGCTGGTTCTGGAGGTCTTCGGCTGCCAGAGCCCTGATCAGGGAAGGGAGGGAAACTCAACCCG